CTGGATGACTGAGCTTTGCGTGGCGTTTTTTATAGTAAACGACATTTTCTGAAAATGAAACCTAGCTACATCGATTTATCGCCCCCTAAACCCCCCCCCCCCCAAATGCAATATTTCAAGAAAATCGGTGAACTCATTTTCGAAGTTGTTGATATAAATATATAGAAGAATTACTCCTATAAAGGTATTGCATTTAACTCGTCGAGTACCGGTTTTGTAGACACAATTATAGAACAATAGGTTGCGGTCACCGGTGACCGCTTGGTGTTTGACAGTTTAATCAACACACCATCAGAGGGTGGAATATATAAGGATTTTCTTTTTCATAATCATTTATGAAGACACTAAACTTTATCTTATCATTAAATCCGTATGAAAACGATTAATTCGCTATGAATGTATTACCGATCTTATCTACGCATAAATAATTAATGTAAAATATTGACTTGTTTGAGGAAAATACTGAACATTATCATGTCCATATAATTATCTATACGATTTCGGAAGTTGACAACGATGTCTTGAATCACTATTGACAATTATTGAGCAATGTGTTTGCAACTTTGTATAAGTTGTTATAAAGCTATTTTTATAATAGCAATTTGTATACATTTAGAATGAAAATTGTAGCTAAAACGTACCTTCGCGCTATTATGAGATTTGCGAATTTTTTTTAAGTCCATCGAATCTTTCCCGAGTCTGGAATGACTGCTTAGCAGTCATAGTTGGACTTAGCATCAAACTAATCAAGTACCTTTGTATAATTCGTACAATTTATTATACAAATAGTATATTTAATTTAGGTGTGGGAGAGAGCCATGCTTCGGCACGAATGGGCCGGCTCGACCGGAGTGATACCGCGGCCTCACAGGAAACCGACGTGAAGCAACGCTTGCGTTGTGTTTCGTCGTGTGAGTGAGGTTACCGGAGGCCCAATTACTCTCCCCTTCCCCAATCTCCCCAATTCCTGAATCCCCAACGATCCTCAAACTCCTAATCCCCAAAAGGCCGGTAACGCACTTGTAACGCCTCTGGTATTCCAGGTGTCAATGGGCGACGCTGATTGCTTACCATTAGGTAATCGTCTGCTCGTTTACCGGCTTATGCCATAAAAAAAAGATACAGATGTCAATCAGATAAGTACTTACTAAAAAATTAAACTTAAACACTAAACCACGCAATTTTCGTGGCCACACACTTGTTTGTCGTCTTATTCGTGAACCAGTACCGATGGCAACGAAATTAAAACTCGCGGAACTAATAGCTCCACTGATTCGCTAGTAGCCCGTACAGTACTTAATTACTCTGCTGACGGTACCGAGGTTCATAATTAGGTTGGGCTCCACGATTGCTCATTAGTGCGTTTTAATAAACACCAATTAATGAAATGGACTGAATTTACTTGCGATTGCGTATAAATCCTCTTTAGGAGTATTTGGTTAACTGTTGGATCGTTTTATTTGTAATGTTACGTTTTTTATAAGTAACGGGTGTTAGTGTGACTGCACAATAAGTTCCATTCTGAATTGGGTTTTATTTTATAAGGCTGGCAACGTGTTTGTAACTTCTGTGGCGTTGTCCATTGGCGGCGATAATTACGTATTTGTACTCAGTAGGCGCTTGATAATATAATATATTTTGTATTCAAAAAATACTCTGCCTCTGCCTCGTTGGCCGAGTAGTCGCAAGTGCGACTGCTCGGCAAGGGGTCTTGGGTTCGATTCCCAGATCGGGGAAAGTACTATTGGGTGTTTTAAAAATTCTCAGTAGTAGCACGGAGTCTGGAATTGTGCTCGATGTATGGCAATAGGCTAACCCCCTATTATATGGGACTCTAACATAAATAGTAAAAAGTGGATGTTACACTGTACCTCTACAGTGGTATAATGTGCACCTCTGCCCTTCGGGTATAAAAGGCGTGATGTTCTGTTATGATATGTCTAAAAATAGTTAATAACCGGACCTGTTTAATCCCTAATCGGTCGCCCGTGACCGCTCTCCACTAGCTCCATTACCGACCTTATTTTCGATGTTTAGAGACTACTTTTGTTTGAACAAATTTTGAGGACTTAAATCAAATGATTAAAAATAAACAATACTAGATACTGAAATTTTATTCAGCAATAATATTGTAGCCGACACTTCATCTCAGAGACCACTTGACCACTAAAATGTAGAGGATTCAGTCAGATTTTATAGGTCCCTCATGTAACTTAAGCTCTAAACCAAGTCGTAAAATTTTACAAAATTATCCACCATCAATTAATGTTTTAAACGCAGACTTTAAGGTCTATCTTAGGCGCCATTAATATTTATTGCAATGAACAAAATTACAGGTTTACTGCGCACTTTGTAACAGCCTATAGTTAATTTAAATAGGTACAAATTAATAAGGTATTACCTAAGAAGGTAATTTTGAAGTTTTGTAGTGTTTTGTTTTATTTTATGTGTGGTATAGACGTGGTTTGGCTAATGTTTATGGTGGTGATGATCATATTGTTATATACTCTTTGGCCGTGTAATGCTGAGCCTGTACCAAGCACAGGTTCGGTCCTGTATGGAGTACTATTCTCATCTTAAGGACGGCTCGGCTAAATATCAGCTGAACGCATTAGAGCACATCGAGAGGCGTGGCAAGAGGCTCATCAACGATGATGCGCTTGTGGAGGCTCGGCTTAAAAGCCTCGAACACAGGCGTAAGGTTGCAAGCCTTTCGGTTTTCTACCGGATACATTTCTGTGAGTGTGCGGGGGAATAGTACATACATCTGGATTCCCCCTAATCATTTCCATCATCGTACTACAAGACAATCGGCGAAGCGTCACCGATTCATGGTAGATGTCTCACCTACACGCACGAAGCGCATCAAGCTTCCTCTTGTGTACTGCTAAGGAGTAGAATTCTCTTTACCAGAGTCTGTATTTCCTGCAGGGTATACTTGTGTGTCTTCAAAGCCCGAGTGAATAGGTTACTTATGGGACAACGTAACTTACCACCAGGCGAGATAGTGGTCAAACGACGGCCCATCAAATATAAAACGAAGATAGTTTCTATACTAGGATTTTCTCCAGTGTCGTATGTGCAAATGTATACAATTCATATTACAATACATCCAGCTCCGAAACAGCAATATGTGGGTCATACAAAGAGCTATCTCGTACGTGAATCGAACTCGCGACACTTTACCAAGCAAGCTGTTGCCTGGCCACTACGCCAACAGCGCAGTGTGTAAGTACGTAATTTTCCAAAATATAAATTTATCTAGAACCTAATTTTAATAACCAGATATCTAGACTCTCGTAGTCATCTAAGCCAATTTCAGTAATATCCTATTTAGATACCAGTGCCTCCATAAGGAAGCAAATTGGCACTTTAAACGGCGATCGATAGGTCGCAGGTTCGTATCTCGGGTGAAGCACTTAACCCGGGCGCTCTTAAAACGGAGTTAACGGGAATAATAGTTTTGTTCGACGTATTATTATTATTTGTTTTATTATGGGATAATCCGGCAAAAGAGTAGCAATCGGCGTCGCCCATTTATACCTAAAACATCAGAGTCGTTACAAGGCGCTACCGGTCTTTTCGGGATTAGGAAATTGAGAATTGTTGGGGATTCAGGTATCGGGGAGATTGGGGAAGGGAGGGGAGGGGGACTGAGTCCCGGTAACCTCAACACAACGCAAATGTTGTTGCACGTCGGTATTCTGTGAGGCCGTGGTATTATTTGCGTGGTATTTATTATTAACGCGGTATTTGTTATTTACGTGGTATTATTTTTACATTATTAGTTATAACTATTAAATTAAATGAAATATAGTGGTCGGGTATGAAAGTAGGTCAATAGTATTTGCAGTCATAGACAAGAGGGGTTTTATGAATGGAATTTAATTGTTTCTTTTTTTTTAAGTACTTAGGCAGCAAATTAATATGATTCAATTTATCGAATTTATTTATTGGATTTTCAACTTTATTTCAATGGAATGAAGTTGAAGATATAATAGAGAATGATAGGAAAGGATAGATTCATCTGTTGGTCTATAGGTAGCTAACAAACCTTAGGGTTGATCAGATGGTACTTAAGCGGCCACTGTTGCCTAAATACATCTGCTATTATGATAATTATCCTTTTACGAATACGATAGATATAAGAATGTTTTGAAAAGCGTAGTATATAGTAATAGTTTCACACCTTATACCGCGCTCAAATGGTATTTTAATAATTGAAATATTTATTGTTGACTGACTAAACAGTGTGTTTTGTGAGGGACAATCATCCAATGACTTCTCCCGCTCGGGTGAGGCGGGAGGGAGTGTCAGACTCTTACTGACTAAAAACCACTCCGTTCCTACTCCTGCACTTCGAGCCGGAGCCCCGGTAACCCGTTAGGTCTTCCACGGCTCCAAAAAACTACAGATGTCAGACACAACTTCAACATCATTAAATTGACTAATACTAAAGGTCACAAGTTCGTTGATTTGTGTCTGTACGTATTGTAGACATATAAAGACATTACTCACTTATAAGTAATGGAATAGGTATAGGTAATAACTTCACAAAGTCTCAGCTCTAAAGAGACCTCAAAACATCTGATTTATGACTGTATATAAGCAAAAATAACTAAAAGCAATGATATATTGTTATACTTAAACTCCAGACATGTCTCGTTACTTCATATTAACAAAAAATACAACTCAAACATGAATTCACTCGTAAAAAATATAAACACGCGCAAAAAGTAGCTTTTTATGTTATTATTGACGTTTTTTTATTTGTACAAGCAAAACCGCAATTAATTTTTTGCTGCGCATAATCGTTTGATAGGCTTTGTATTGATGATAGATGATTTAACACGGCGATGTTAGCAAAAAGACGAAAGTAACTTAGGTATAATGTTTTTGCCAATAACCTAATGAAGTTACAACCTAATCAACTAAGTTATAACTTAAAAAACGATAAAACAAATAGAAAACAAAAACCATAAACAAAAAATATAACTCACCTCCTTCCGTAAACGGTAGACGACAAAAATACAACTGGCACACAACAAATAAAAAAAAACACAGGCCAAATAAATAAATAATAAATTCAAAAAAAGAATTCCACAACTCGCGACTGTCAGTTTCAAATGTTTGGAATAAAATGCGAACTAACACTTGGGGTGTTGCCAAAACACACAAGGATCACAAAATATTGGTGATACAGGTTTTTTTTGATGATTTTCAGGCTTGGAGCTAACAGCGAGTGCTCAGTGCATCAGTTAGTACGGTGAAGTAATGAATGGTGAAGCGAGGTGCCCGCTTGAACGGCTTTGGCGGTAAATGTGTGTCTTACAATGTGTTTGGCGCGACACTACTTGATACTTTTAGTTTTTGCGCGTCAACTCGCGGCCATTGCGGTGTGAGAAAAGAGTTATTACTGTTATTACTTTCTGTGTACTGGTCTTCAAGTGTCGGTTAATAAATGTTAATTAACGCTGCGATTGTGTTTAGAATGAATGGGTAAGAGAAATTGATGTGTATCGCTTGGAAAATATCTCGTTTGTATGTTTTTAATTGTGTAGGTGTGTGTGATTGTGTGTTATATTACCTATGTGTCTGTCTTTCTAAATAATGTAAGGATTTTAATCGTTTTTGAAGTACGCTGTAACTTTTGTGGACGAAAATGGAGAATAACTGAATTAATTAACTAGTTTTATTTTGTTGTGACATTAAATAAATAATAGTTTTTTACATATTTATTACAGTATTGTTTGCCTATATTTTTTTGATATGCATATACATAATTATACATTATTCACAGATTTCTATGTATTTCAGAATAGGTTTAAGATACGTTACCATAAATCATAAATTTATTGAGGATTATGACTTAACTCGTCGAGTACCGGTTTTGTAGACACAATTATAGAACAATAGGTTGCGGTCACCGGTGACCGCTTGGTGTTTGACAGTTTAAATGCAATTGTCTAAATCACAGCAAAAAGTATCAGGATCTTTGCAAAAATTGAATTTAGCACAACAACAACAAAGGATCAATATGTTTGAGTCGTAGTATATTGTGTAGCGGTCTGTAGTCTCGAATCGACTTGGCATTTTGGCTGACAAAACGTTCGCGTCGATGTTAGACATTACGGAGTAGGCTATTGTATTTTGTTAAATTCTTAATACTTAGTGATAGTAATTCGTACTTAAATCCTGAAGGGATAGGCAGTGACGTATATTAAAGCATGTAGCTTCAAGCCACATCGGCACTTGCAGTTATGAGCTATGCGAACAACGAAAAGGTAATTCAAATAATAATAATATGTTGGAAATAACTAATTATGTATTTATTTTTATGGAGTGAGCCGGTAAACGAGTATAGTCCATCTGTTTAGGTAATTAACTAAAGGTAAACAAACAAAACCACGTGCGCAGAGATACTTAACCTTCTATTACTTCAAATATTTCTCGTGTTTTAATTTAAACTAAATTCACTTTGAAATCGATCATTTGTCACACACACACATACAAGCACAAATGCCTAAATCGTACAAGAGCCTAGCCTATGGGTCTATTTCATTATAATGTTTAAATAGAAACTATTCTGAATCTGATGTACGGATTTCTTTCTTGTACGGATATGTGTCTTTGGGCCAAGTTTCTTCAATATATTTGAACACATTAATTACAAACGATGAATAACCTAAACTTAAATAACTTAATAACAAAAACAAAACAAAGAAACAAGATAAATTCAACAAAATAGGAACGCGAGCGCAAACGACGAGAGAGATGTCAATGGCGCCTGTTAACCGACTAAACGTAATACACGCTACTTTCATTGTCGCGCTACATCTTAATTGTACTCTTTAATTTGACAACATTATCTAATGCTTCGTTCATAAAGAAAGGTTTTGGATACCTGGGATTTTAGGCTCTTTATGGTGTCTATTGTAATGAAATATTATATTATTTAATAAATGTTATTAAATTATTATGTTCAAGCAGATATATATAATATTTATTAAGAAATAAGTGAAAAGGAACAGAAACATAACATTTAATAGAGAAAACTGTCGTAAAAATGGAAACAATTTTATTTTCTTATGAAGTATTTTGAATCATGGAAATGTCAACTATAAAGAACTCTTTTTATGGTTTGTTTACAAATAGTTAACTACCTAAACAGACGGAGTATAGACGGTAACTGGTAAGCACTCGGCGTCGCCCATGGACACCCGATACACCAGAGTTGTTTCAAGTGTATTACCGACGTTTTGGGGATTAAGAATTTGAAGACTATTAGGTATTCGGGGGTTAGGAAGATTGGGGAGGGGGGTAATTGGGCCTTCGGTAACGTCACTCACGCGTTGAAATTCATCGCAAGTGTTGTTTCACGTCGGTTTTCTGCTCGGCCGTGGTATCACTCCGGTCGAGCCGGCCCATTCGTGCCGAAGCATGACTCTCACACAATAGTTATTAAAAACCTGTTATAATAAACATAAAATTGCAATCTGACATTCAAGGACAACCTTTGATAAATCACTGACATTTTAAAATTGCATTTTTAGGAAACCATTTAACATCTAAAGTAAATAATTAATCAAAGTTATGATCCAGATTTGAAAAGGTCATATACTTAATTGGTATGGTAATATTAGTAATGATATACTTAATTGACAATATAATTCACCAGATTAGTTATGTTTTTAATTTTTAATCTTCAAAATCAACACCTATTATATCATTTTGGTTTAAATGAGTAAATCCGTGTTGTGGCTCGGAAGTTTAAGACGCCCGCTTCTCGTGTACATGAGTGTCGCGTCGAAACCTACCAACGGTAAGTACTAATGTGACTTTTTCTGAGTTATATGTACTGTCTTAGATTATCTAGACACCATTGACGACGGTGAAGGACAACATCGTGAGGAAACCTGGACTTATAATTTCTAATTATAAGTTTAAAATCGCCAACTCGCATGAAGCAAGCGTTTGATTAATGCTCAAAACCTTCTCCGTGTGAGAAGAGGCTTTGCTCAGCAGTGGGCATTTATAGGCTGTTGATGAGTAAATGTAACTTCCTATTAGATACTAAACTAAGCTACCTTAAATCAAGGATATTTGGGCGTATCAAAATCTGTATAGGTAAACTAGATGTCTGTTTTACAAAGTGGTTGCCACGTTTGTACCTATACTGTACCTTGCCATTTTCTACCAGTCATCATTAAACCATAAAACTTGGGTATGAGCTAAAACTAAGGCTGGTCTAAAAAGGACAGTAGGTAGCATTTTCTAACATTCTAAATTGATGTTGACGTTGACGT